TTAAAAAATAATAAAAATAAAATGGTTAATTATGTGAATTATGCCTCAATGAATATACATATATAATATATATTTTTATGTCCCTTTACATTCTGCCCACCTGCGGCGAGGGTCTTACTTGCCCCCGCCGCAGTCTTGGACATGTTTAATTTTATTTTTAGCTAAAAATAAACAGGATGACAAACTAAAAGAAGCTTGGGCCTCACACAAACCTGTGGTTGAGCTCCAGGTCACAGAACGACTCCTGTTTGACTCAAAATTCACTGTGGCATGTGCCCTGCCACCTTTCTCATACAGCACAGTGAAGGCTCAGTTACCCGGATCCTTGCTCACTACCGGGACATCACCATATGCCGGACAAAACACAAACACGCTTTCTCCCCCGTGAGGTTGCTGGGAAAAGTTTAATCGGCTACAGAAATTTGTGAGAACCAAAGGCCACCTCTGGACTGAAAAGGAAAGTAGCCCTTTGGTTCTGGTTTATCTATTATTAGATCCCCTTCGAGGCTTTACATCCATGTTTGGTGGAAAATAGAGTGATTTTTAAGAGTGTGGTGATTTCCTCTGATAGTTCCTTCATCCTGGCTTCAGTTACTTCAGAGCCTTAAAAAACAGAAGAAGGATATAAGTATTAGCAACATCAGAAACTGAATAATGTAAGTCTTTCAAGTACCTCCAGCTAGTCTTTGCACCATTTTGGTTTGCTCCTAAAGGTCTCCATGTTTGAGGCAAACCGAAATGGAGAGAGGTATGCGTTCCCTGGTGAACATGAATATCCTCCTTCTAAGTGAAACGAAGAGAGCTCATACTGGAGCAATTAACTCTATACATTTGCCAGAAAAGAGAGCTGCTCATCCACTTCAAGGCCTGCCATAACACTAGAGTTATCCCAGGCAGTATCAGCCTCTGAGCTTGAATTTAATAAAGTTATCCAGGCTGCTATCCTCCCTCAGAAAGCCTAAAAGAGCCATGGAGAAAATACGCTGCCCTCAGAAGCTGAGCCAGTCTCTGGCATCTCCCTACAAAGAAATAAAATACTATTTTATTTTATACAAATCCATGGAAATCTGTTTCTCCATGAATGACCTAAATCAGGGGTCAGCAAGCTGCTTTTGTAAATAAAGTTTTATTGGGACACAGCCATGCCCATCCCTTTATGTATTGGCTATGCCTGCTTTCCCCCTCTAATGGCAAAGTAGAATAGTTGCAACAGAGACTGCAGGCTCACAAATCCTAAAATATTTACTATCTGGCCCTTTACAGAGCAAATTTTGTTGATCTATGACAACTCTAACCACTCTAGCCTCCAGATACACATTTAGAGGTGCACTTACAGATTTATTCCTGGCCTCAGGTGCATTCCAGTTTCCCCGCGCTAACTGTGAGCTTTCTCAGGTGCATTCCAGTTTCCCACAAGCACGATCGGCTGTCAGGTCTGTCCTAACTATGCTCCGGGATGCTCATATTTGCTGCCTATGCCAGGCAAATGGGAGCATCCCGTGAGAGCAAAATCCTGCAAGGCAAGTCCTATAATGGTCCCTTCTCCACCAGGACAACAGCTTGTCTGTAAGACAAACAGAGACTACTTGAGGCTTCCATCTTACCTGCTCAGGCAGTCCTGATTATTCCCAGTCCTGTGCTGGTTTCAGCTGATTTCCAACTCGGCTATTCTTGGCTCTGAAAAGCTATCATCACTGGCATCGCTGTATCTATCACTAGATCAAAAGAGGAACGAATTTAGCAAGGTGTAAAAAACCCTGGACCATTATTCTATTTACAATTCAAAACACATTCCATAATTAATCTCCACTCAGAGAAAATGCTAAGCGATATTCTACTACCACTTTCTAGTCACGGCAAAAAGAGGTTAGTCCAACCACACACAATGATCTTCTGTCAGAGGAGCTGATCACTTGCTTTCATCTTAAGTTGGAAGCAACTTATTCAGAAAATTTATAAAAGCATTTCAATTTAGATTAAAATTTATAATCTTCTGAAGGCCACTAATAGAGGCCAGCAGCATGAAAGTTTTCCGTTGCAACAAACATTTTCATACGTCCAAGGGCTTCAGAAATCATTTCCACAATTATGGCTATTTTCACATTAGAAGCTTTATGGGATGCTCCGACTACCTTGAGTCACATGTAGTATTCAAAATAGGACCAATGACTGACGTAGATGCTGCAATGCTGGGTTACCTCAGAAGTACACCTTCTCCATGACAGAGCCCTGCAACTGTAGTTTTGCTTTGAGCCATGGGCTCAGGTTGGGGTTCCTCTTGCTCGGTTCCAAATCAATCAGCAAGTAAATCAACTTCACAGGAGTTCTACTGATCTATGGAGATGACGTTGTCAGGAAGTAAGTGTTTTATGACTGACCCATTCCTAGCCTTGACCAACTGTTTGCTGACTTACAGCAATAGAAGTCTGAATTCCATAACACGTGAAAATCCACTCTTTCTTTCTTTCTTTCGTTCTTTCTTTCTTTTTTTTTAAGGAGGAAAGCAAACTGAAGAAACCCTCTGCTGACACGTTAGGAAGCAAAGATTTACTCTAAACATATTGAGCGTGTATCAATAAATAGGTCAACAAAAATGTAAAAGACAACCTCACTCTCCTCCCTGACTTTTGAACAAAATACTGGAAAGGCTGTGGGGGCGGGGCTCGAGTACAGAGAGGAGATAGAAGAGCATTGAGAATTGGCAGAAAAGACATGTTAGATAAACATATAAATCAACAGATCCTCAAAACAATCAAGGAGAAGATACCTCCTACTTAGATTTTAGAGCAGGAAAATCACTTCTGTTACAAAAGGGTTTCCAATAAAGAAAACACAGGAATAACTAAATAATTTTTTTTTAACTGCCCCCCCCCACCCCGGGGAGCCTGGGTGGCTCAGTTGGTTAAGCAACTGCCTTCGGCTCAGGTCATGATCCTGGGGTCCTGGGATCGAGCCCCGCATCGGGCTCCCTGCTCAGCCGAAAGCCTGCTTCTCCCTCTCCCACTCCCCCTACTTGTGTTCCCCCTCACGCTGTCTCTCTCTCTCTCTGTCAATTAAATAAGTAAATAAAATCTTTAAAAAAAAACAAAAAAAAAACTGCCCCCAAAAGTTGGTATGTCCTTCCTTATCCATGCACTCTCATTACACAAATGTCGAATCCTTCCTGGTTCTGTGTGACAAAAAGGGAATTGGAAGTTGCACTCAACTTCCTCTGGGAGAAGAAATGAAGGTTAGGGTGTTCAGGTGATTCACCCAGCACACAGCTCATTCGAGGTGGGGTCAGCATCCCCATCATGCCAACCCAGGCCACAAGCTCAAGTCTAAGCTGGGCTGCAATGTGCCAGCAGGCACCTTGGGGCATGTCCCCTGACTCCACAAGCGAGAAGGCCAAAAGAGCCAAGGAACTCCCATTTTCTCAGGCATCAGATGTTACACCTGCTTCCTTCCTGACCTCGGAGCCCAGAGAAGAGTAAGGTGGGCCCACATCTTCCCCCTCACACTCCTGGTTGTACTATTTATTAGCCACATATCTTTGGACTGGTCACTTGACTCCTGAGAGTCTAGGAAAAAAGTAGTAACAATACGTACAACCTCACCAAAATGTTATGAGGGCCAAAAGGGAATGTCTAAATGTGCTCTGAAGACTACATAAAAATGTAAGCCATCGTTGTTTATGAGAGTTACATATTTATAACATGGCATCTCTCAAAAAGTCATGGAAATATGAAGAAGTCACAAAAACTGCCAATTGCATGCTTTTCAGAATTGCTTTTTTTTTAAGATTTTATTTATTTATTTGAGAGAGAATGAGATAGAGAGAGAGAGCATGAGAGGGGGGAGGGTCAGAGGGAGAAGCAGACTCCCCGCCGAGCAGGGAGCTCGATGCGGGACTCGATCCCGGGACTCCAGGATCATGACCTGAGCCGAAGGCAGTCGCTTAACCGACTGAGCCACCCAGGCCCCCAGAATTGCTTCTTGTCCCAAATAATTCCCTGCCCACATTAGCCAGCAGAGTAGGGTGGGTCTGTTTCTAACCTAACGGCCCTCATTTCTGTCTGATGGCTGGCTCCCCCAAACTCGGACAACACATCAAAATGGCATGGGGAGACTCAGCTTGAGTTTAGTCATTTCTAAGGCAAATGAGCGGGTTTGGTGATTCTTTTTCCTATGTGTCAGGGGCCAGAAGTAGGACAATGAAATAAACCATGGCACTCAAGAACAGAATCATTAAAATAGGCATTGCTGCTCAACGTGCTGATTTCAGGGCATCCACGTGCCAGCAAAAAGCAAGCGCTAGGAATAAAATGTGGATCATCACCACACACGGAACAGCAGCGGCTCTGTCACGTTCAGTAAAATGTGAATGCTACTCTGTGCTGCGTCTGACTTAGGGGTTCATTTGAGTTTCACACAGAACAAACTTAAAGAAGTCATAAGATACACTTGTCTGAGTATATTTTCACTTAATTCGCGACATCTCAGCTCTACCTTAAGACTAACCCATCTTTTAAAGTCATCTTCTCTGTACACACATTTCTCAGTAGGGAAAATTATTAGATATCAAGGTCTTACATGTTAAACTTTATGAAATGCCACAGAATACAGACCCATTTGTGTATATCTTGATATATTTGAGGAGGGGAAGTTTTAAACCTGCAGTGCCCAATATGGTAGCCACAAGCCACAGGACGCTATCTACATTTAAGTCAATTAAAACCGAATTGAACTGAAAATTCCATGCCTCACTCACACATATTAAGTGCAGTTCAAGTGCTCCATATGTTACCGGGTTGCTCGGTTCTTGCCCCAGATGCACCGAAGAATTGGAAACCCGAGACCAGAATGGGGAGATAGAGTTCATTAAGTAGATAAGCATAGTACACTTTCACGAGCGAAAACGGGCCACTATCAGAGCAAGAGTGGCAATGGCCCCAAGAAGCTCTAGGTGCATCCTTCTAAGCCTGTTTTCTTCCCTAAATTTGGCTTTGACAGATATGTTCGATTGACAGCTGGTTATATAACATTTTGGCTTATGCGCATGCGCCTACCCATGACGCATTCTGTTACAACCGTATTTATCTATGTATTGTATATTTATGAGTTTCTAAGGAGCTTTTGCTGTGACCTTAAGGACACGTTGCGCCTTTTGTGCGCATGCTCAGCCCTTGGAAGTCCCCTTGTGGCTTCTGAGCCAGCTCTGTGGCGAGGCCTTTCCTGTTCTCTTAGCTCTTAGAGGTGGCTCTGAAGGTGTGGCTGTTAACCCTCAGGGCTGGCTCCGAGGGTGTGACCAGCATCTGCTTTATCCCTCCTCCCTCGGGCCCAACTAACCGCCCCACAAATAGTCCTGTAGGGCTGGTGACTGTCATATTCGGCAGTGCAGATTATAGAACAGTTCCATCATTGCCGAAAGTTCTGTTGGATAGCACTGATTTTAAAACAAACGAGTAATGATAAAAACAGCAACAGCAACAAACTATAATCACCATGCAATGGTTCTCCTTGTCACTTCCTAAAAAATTTTTTTTAAGGTCTGGCTATCTACAGTTAATTAAAATCATGGCAAACGGCAAATGTCTCTCATGCATCCATGTGTCCCCCCAATAACAGAAGCACTCTTTTAAAAAAAGTTTTAATATATATATGTATATACACACTTTCTTTTTTTTTTTAAAGTAGGCTCCAAGCCCAATGTGGGACCTGAACCCACAACCCCAAGGTCAAGAGTCACATGCTCTACCGACCGAGCCAGCCAGATGCCCCCTATATGATTTTTTACAAGACAAAATCAGAATCACCAGCAGTGATTCATGGGAATCTCTGTCCTTACAACACTGGCTTGACCTAGGAGACTTGACTGCCGCAATCTACGTGTGGTTCTTTGACAAACAAAAGGTTGGTCATCGTCGTTCGTTTGTCAAAAATTCCTGGTTCCTAGTAAATTCCCAATATAAGAAAACATATATTTCAAGGCACTAGGACAAGATATAGTAATGCCTCATATATCCCACTTTTTATGCCATCCCAGGGGCAGCCGTTAAGCCACTTCTTCTCCATTAACAGAAAGAGGTGGTTGGAATTTTAAAAAATTTTGATGGCCAACTTAGGATTCCCAGCATGCATGAGTTCCTACAATGCTTTGTATCAAAATCCATTTCATGTGGAAAAAGCGTGTTTTAAAACAGGTTGCCATGCACACAGTTTTCTCCAAAGCATTGTTACTGCTTTACTTACTTCCTTTTCAAAGAGCCCCTGGAAGCCATAAAATGTAAGAGCAATGGAATAAAAACTTAGTATGCTTTGATGAGTTTTGCACTGAATAGTAAATGGTAGAATACAACCCCAGCAGGGCATTAAAAGCACAGTAGTCTCTATCACTATTAACTCCATCCCTGGCTGGCACCATATCATCAGCACTGCAGTGAACCACCATCAATAAAGAGCACCTTTTAATCAACATTTAATCCCTAAGGGAAGGTGTATTCAAATGTGGTTTATTAGCAGCACTTTACCAAAAAAAGTCTCAAGGTATGCAGTTGGTGACAAACAATGGGGGCAGAGGGGGCGGCGCTGATTTAAAAGGTGTTTAAAAAACTTAAAATAGAATCATTTTCTTTTTCCAGTTCACTTTTGCTTGAAATGTAACAAAGGGGAAAAAGTAGTATTTTTATATCAGTTTAAAATGTACAAAGCACCATCTCAACTATTCTTTACAGCAGCCCAAAAGGATGAAGATCCTGAAGTTTAGGAGTAGAGACTTGGGAAAAATTACCCAGTAAGCAGCAAACCCAGAAACCAAATCCATAGCACCTGCTCTACTCGTTCACACTGTCCCCAGAGAAACAAACTATTTGCACCTGTCCGGGAGCAAGAATTTCCTGTCCCCTTTAAGGTACTCCTAGCTGGACTAAGAATCAAAGTGACATGAGACAGATTAACAGAAGAAAATTGGAGGGACTAAAGTTTCTCTTGAGCCTGCAGGGTCTTCATTGCCTTCAACTCAAAACAGTCCACGTGCAGAAGTGGCATATTTTGAGAAGACCTGTCCCAAACCCCTTCAAACTTGAACTAATCTTTATGCCAAACTGGCCCATCTTGGGATGGCCAGCCCTTGGCCCCTACACACCATAGACTGCAAGAATGGCCCTTGGCAACATCAACCATGCAGCCCAAATGTTGAAAAAAAATAGGCAAGGTGATCCCAAGTTTAAAATAGTGCTGGAAAACGCACATCAGATTCATGCAGGGGGAAAAAAGTATCTTACCCTCCTAGTCAAAGAGAAAGAGGTACCCAAGGGGGGATAAATATGCCTTAGAGGGAGAGATGCACACACTACAATCAATAGAGAGGCCACACCCACCTCCCATGCCCACTGTCAGGAAGTAGCATTCTAACAGGATACAGATTGGCATTCACCTCTCACTAAGCAGTTCAGGAATGTATATCAAGGACCTCAAAAGTGGTGTGAGCTGAGGCAAAGGCATTAAAAGCTTCTAGGGAGATCGAGGGACTGCAAGCTGTTCCCTAAGGATTTGTGTGCATTTTATTCTCTAAGTCAAAGGAAGCCACTGAGAGTTTTAAACTCCAAAATAATGTAGGAAGATGGACTGAGAAGAGGAAAGCTGGAGGTATAGAGACCAGATAGGAAGCTTTGTAGTAGGCAAGAGATGAAGAAGACCAGAACTTCACACTAATTTAGAAGGGCTTGCTTAGTGGAGTGGGATGGGAGAACGACTCAGGAACTTGGCTTTCAGAATGTGTTCTCCATTACTAACTGATAAGGTCATTTCACTGGGTGTAGGCTGATGTGCTTTACGGTGAATGCTTGCTTTCCTTCTGAGAGTCTGGAATTTGAGTGGTTGCTAGGTAGAGAATGCCTATGTAACCAGCCCCAATAAAAACCCTAAACTCTGAGTCTCAAATGGGCTCCTCTGGGCACAAACATCAGACACATGTTGCTGCATGTTCCCTGCTGAAGGGCAGATGAGCTCTGTGTGAGCTCTCATGGGAGGAGGGGGCATAGGAAACCTGCAAATAGGTTTCTCCACACCCCACTTACATCTTTTCCTCTTAACTGAGCCAGCTGTGTGTGCTTACTCTGTCACTGAAGTGAGTTTTAACCATGAGTACCACTATATTCTGATTTCCTTCTAGTTAATCATCAAATGTGTGGGTCGTCTTGGGGGACCCCCAAAACAAAGGCTTTCAGTTTGATTTTGCATGTACTTCCTGAGCAGCTTATAAAAACCTAAAAAATACTATCCTAAAACTGTTATGCCTTTCTCGAACCGAAGACTGCAAGTTGAAAACCAGGCGGAATTGGTCCTCATAACTGGGTTTCCACTCTATAGACAGCAGAGCAGCCAAGAATTTAGCTCATCAGCTCTAGATCCCAAAATAATATTCTCACCGCAACTTCCCAGGCACTAAAAGATAATTGTTCTCCACAGGCCAGAACGCAGAGGTTATAGTTCAGATGTACTCACTCAAAGCCAAAGATTTTTGTATTCTGGGCTTTAAAGATGTCAGCTGCGCATGTGCCATATAATTACACACCGTCAGCCAATTTCTGGGGAAGGAAGTCACTCTGCTGGTGTTCATATTCCTTGTTACGTTTGTTTGTGATGGATTATAGACAGTAATCTTGTTTGACAGAAATACAGTACCAGCTCAGCTCACATTAGAGCCTGGCCACGAAAGCACTCGTTCGCTTTTCATCGTTCACTCACGCCGCAGAGCTGGGCAGGGAGGAGCTGAAGTGCAAGGTTCCTCTGGAATCTGGGTGTCTGTCACTGGGTTAACTCATGGTCACCATTCTTAGTTGGAAAACCACCCGCACCCCCGCGAGGTGTCAAAATTAGACTAGACTATACCCATCCTCCCCTGCTACCCAAAGTTAGTACTTTAATGGGTACTAAACTACCCCGTGCTCTAGGGAGCCAGGGAGATCACGATAAACAAGGTGTCGGCTGCCCTTAAGAAACACACCGGTTTATGGCTGACACATAGGAATTCTCTGACCACCGCGGAAGCCTGCTAGTCAGCTGTAACTCCAATACCAGCCTCGGAGTTATATTAAGAAGTCTTGCCTTGTCCTCGAGACATACTGAGTCTTGCTCAGGAGTCCCTAGCAAGCAACCATTTTTCTCAGAAACTGCTGCTAAGCTTTGCCCAGAAACCACCATCCCCCCCCAACCCCCCCGCGGGAAGCAGCGGGCCATCTAACACACAGGTGCGCAGTCCACACAAATTAGAGAAGGCTCGTTCTTGGCCGTTGCTGCCAAATAGCCTGACATTATTTCGCCCGGCCATCTAACTTCCTCCGCTGCCACCCCCCTCTTACAGCCGGGAAACCAGTTGCCCTGGCTCAGCGGAGCAAGGAGTGATCATTGAGTCAGGAAGACACCTGACAGGGAAATACGTAAAGCTGTTCCCGTTTGAAAACTGGCTACAAGAAATGAGAGAGCTGTGAGCTTCTCCTCGCAAGTAATGTCACAAATAAGCAGGCTTGTGTAACACAAGCACACGCACACCACACCAGACACAGATCCTGGCAGCTCTCGACTGCAACATCACCAGGGTTATTTGCTGGGATGAGGGTCAGCAAAGGTAATCTTCTAAATGACATATATCCGGGGCGCCTGGGTGGCTCAGTTGGTTAAGCGACTGCCTTCGGCTCAGTCATGATCCTGGAGTCCCTGGATCGAGTCCCGCATCGGGCTCCCTGCTCGGCGGGGAGTCTGTTTCTCCCTCTGACCCTCTTCCCTCTCATGCTCTCTGTCTCTCATTCTCTCTCTCTCAAATAAATAAATAAAATCTTTAAAAAAAAATAAAAAATAAATGACATATATCCGGTTACTGCGTTAGCAACCCTTCATAACCCCTCTATGATTCTGGCTAGTTCCCTCCACTTTTAAAGTTATTGCATCCAATATTCTTGCAGGAGAAGAAGTAAAGATATAAATTCTCCCCAAACTAATATTTAAATGTAAAGAAATTTTAATGAAAATCCCTAAGGGATTTTTTTTTTATTTGAACCCAATTTTAAAAATCGTTGCGTAATTCATCTGGAAGAATAGCAAAATATATTTTTTAAAAAGTTAAATAATGGGCATAGGGGGGCTCCTGGGTGGCTCAGTCATTAAGTGTCTGCCTTCAGCTCAGATCATGATCCCAGGGTCCTGGGATCGAGTCCCGCGTCCAGTTCTCCGCTCGGCCTGAGGCCTGCTTCTCCCTCTCCCACTCCCCCTACTTGTGTTCCCTCTCTCACTGTGTCTCTCTCTGTCAAATAAATAAATACATAAAATCTTTAAAAAAAAAACTATAAAGACTATATAAAGTCCTTCTTTAAAGATCTAGGGAAAAAGAAAACCATGATTACCAACTTAAAAGACAAACAAACCCACTTTGAAAAATTATTTGCAACCTAACAAAGGATTAATGTCCTTTATGTATAAAGAGCTTACCAATCAGTAAGATAAAGGATACAATAGCAAAAGGAAAAATAGTGCAGAGGGTATGAACAAGCTAGTCACAAAAAAACAAATAAATATATAAAATATTTATATATATTCATTAATCAGAGTCACCAAAAGCAAATCCCATTTTTCACTTATCAAAATGACACAAACTTCTAAAATAACACCCAGCATCAGCGTGATTCGGAAAGCTAACATGTCACTGCCTTGGATGTGAAGAAATCATTTTTATTCAGAGAAAAAAAATCAGGATCGGTAAGAAAGAAAAAAATTACTCTTCATTTCAAAAAAGTCCTGTACTGATATTAAATTTCACGAGAACCCTAAAATGTTGATATAAGTGCAGCTGGGGTTGGTGCTGAGAGCAGTAAGCTGGTTACCTAGAAGACAGCTTGCATCCCTGTTGCAAGTAGGCATGCAGGCTCCCGGTTGCCGCAAGTAACAGGCCCAGGTATGGAGGGGAAGGCTTCATCGGCCTAGAAGAAAACTCAGGATGGAATTGGACACCAACAAAATAGGGGTGATCTGAAATGAGAATAATCATGATGTGACTGAAGCAGACAAACATGAGAGCTGCTTTAAAGGTCTTATCTTTGAATAAGAAAACGCATCAAATGGTGAGACAATTAACCTGTTACCATCACTGGCAGCTACTCTCACGAACCATCTTCAAGGCAGAATCTCAAACGGCAAAACACATCTCGCTTAATGAGAGATCTGGCATTTTATCTGTGCAAGGTGTTAGAGGGAGAAAAACCAAGCAACATTTTTGAATGGCAAGATGAATTCTGCTTTGCCCAAAGTCCACCTGCTTTTTGAAGGCCCTTCGTAGACGTATGTTGTCTCCATTCCCACAGTATCCCTCACGCTAGAGGCTAGCTGTAGGGCCTTCCGTCCCTTAGCTGGCTTCCGGCCAGTTCCTACAAGGTCGTTTCCTTTCCCAAGGGAAGAGTCCCCTGGGAATGCAGCAAGTACGACCGCTTTTCTCGTCACAGCTTTACGATGGATATTAATCAGAGGTGGCAAACATGAAACTGACCTTGCACCCCTATTTCAGCCTCTGCCAACTTATTGCCTGTGAGGACGAGTCTCGGAGTGATAAAGGGATGGCCTTTCAACATGTTAATGGTGGTTGTAGCTCCAGGTGGTAAGAGGTCAAGATACTTTTGTTCTCTTCCTTATACTTTTCCCTACTGTGTGAAACTTTTCCATGAGCATATGTTATTTATATTATCGGGGGCAAATGAAGCAATTTCCAAATTGAAGGTTGTAAAAAGCTCGTACAGGAGCAATTCGAGTTCTCCTAGATGGAATGGAACAGAAAAGTAGCTTTACCCAGCTACTTTTAAACACACAAATCCCCTTTTGGATTGGAAAACATTAAATGGGCAACATTTCCAAATCTGGGTAGAAATTTTACAGGAGTGCAAATTCCTTCCCCCAATCAGAACTCTCAAAAACTATGTTGGTTTTTTTTTTCCCCCCCAGATTAGGAAGCAACTTCTAATTAGAAATCAGGCAAATCTCTAATCCCATAATTACTATAGTACAGAGCATGGTTGTCGCTGTATTCCCTACTTTAAAAATCATTTTAATTGCTATGTATATCAAACCGAAGATGACAGAATATAAGTTTTATAGGGGGAGTAAATATAACTTTAAAGCTTTCAACGAGATGCTTTATCAAATGATCTAAAAATCTAGTGTGGAATTCAAAATCACAAATCCCCATCACTTACCGCTGGAGACCCAAAGCTCCTACTACAATAGTAAGGAAATGATGACTGGACGGAAATGTCCACTCTCGTAAGGTTATCACTGAAAGCTTTGCGATACAAAATGGTAGCTCTTAGCCACATGTGGCTATTTAAATTCATTCAAATTAATTGAGCACATATCAAGTGTTCAATAGCCACACGTGGCTAGTAGCTACCATATCAAACAGGGCAGAATAGTCCATCATTGCAGCAAGTTTCACTGGACAGCTCTGAGTCCAGAAAAATCCAGTGTAGAAATCTTGTACATCGCATCTAGGAAGAAGCCTCCTTGAATGAGAGGGACACTCAGGTATGAGAGGTTGGTGAAGAGAATGCCACCCTCTCCCAGGAACGTGTCCCCTCAAGAAAAGAAGAAAAGCAATCATCCACTCTTAGAAAAGAAATGAAGCAATGTAGCTTTAAATTTCAGATGCAATGAATCTTACAGCACGGCATCTAGGGATGTCTTTGAAAGACACAGACGGTAATTGTGCTTTTGTACAACTGCAGCAGAAGCTACACAAAGAATCGTGTCATGGCCAGGGACCAAAAAATATCTGAATGAATGGACCACTGTTCTGAATCGCTTTCTCCAAGAGAATCCCCTATGCCAATATGAGGAAAGAAATGAAAAGTTTTTATTTTGATGGTGTTCTATCAGTCAGATAAAGTATCTTTGAAATAGTGCTCTTAATTGCTTTGAATCACGTTCTGACATTATACTAATCTCAAACTTTGTTGTTACTTTTATTTATTTATTTATTTGACAGAGAGATAGAGAGAACAAGTAGGCAGAGAGGCAGGCAGAGGGAGAGGGAGAAGCAGGCTCCCCGCCGAGCGGGGAGCCCGATGCGGGGCTCAATCCCACGACCCTGGGATCATGACCTGAGCCGAAGGCAGACGCTTAACCAACTGAGCCACCCAGGCGCCCCTGAATCACATGGTATTTTAATACTAGGTCATACCCAGAGCTTTGAGAGACTCACAGGTCTCATTGTATTGGAATATACCCTTCACATTAACGATCCTAACAGCCACACTCGAACACTGCTTTTTCTGTGCCAGGCACTGAAGGACTCACATGTATAACTGATTTAACGCTCACAAGAACCCCATGAGGCAGGAGGCATTCTGATGTCCGTTTTCCAGATGCAGAAACCTCAGTGTCGTGCGTTAAGTAGCTACGCGGCGAGGGACTGAGAGCTGGGACTGGAGGGGGTCTCCAATGAATGGGGCAGTGAGACTGGGCTGTTAGCCACTCCACTAGTTCCCACGGGGGAGATGCTCGGCACAGGGCCGGTTCAGTAAGGGACATGCCTCCTGTTGTCATGATTAAAGGAGCTAAGTCATGTCCCAGACCTGTAAGCCCCCATATCCACAAATACACCCTAGAGAAGGGTTTCCCCAGCAAAAGACAAGAAGGAGCAGGGCAGAGAGCTACCTTGCAGCGTGGCCCATCAGCAGGGAGGCCGGGAGGCTGGCCAGCGGGCACACTCCGCTCAGGAGGCCCACCGCGCTCCCTTCCCGTAGGTCTCGGCACGACAAATTCACTGTGGCACGGACTTTCGGCGTCCCTAAATCCCTGGTGGCCTCTTTTAAACTGTTTTGTAAATCACCTCATTAACCGAGCCAAGGCTTTTTGTACGGCATGATTATTTTCTTAAACTTCCTAACAATCTAATCACACCAAGAACTAGAAGCTGTTTTTCTCTACCCATGCCCTGATAAAATATAAGAAAGCAAGAGCAATTTTTCTAGCCAGTGAAAATTGGTTCCACCATATCCCCTTTTCCTTCAGTCCCTTCAAATTCGAGATTGACCAATCTGCATTTCCAACGCCATGAATTTAACCCAGATCTTAACACTGGGACTCACTCCATACCTCCCTAATTGGCCTGCTGCCTGTTCTCTCAGAATAAAACCCTTTTTCTCTTACAGTAAGGCAGAACCAGGTGTTTTAGCCAAGTCCTCCCCCTTATTATGAGGAAATGCAGAGAAGATCCCAAAAAGGAATTAAGTCTTCTCCTAAAGCATTCAACTTCCATTTGCCATGGCCTCCTCCAGCCTAGATTCTGGCACACTCCCTGCAGCATCATCCTGAGGAGCTCTCCCCAGCCTCCATTGCCAGCTGACATTTGTCCCCTTGCTGTCTGCCCTGAGGATAGGGGTCATCTTCTCAGAACTCTGATGGGAAGTCACCAGGGCCTGGTCTCCAGCTGCATACACTGCACTGAAGAGGGCTTCTAATTCCTTCCAAAATGTTATGGCACGTTCTCCACTGGACTGGACACCCCTAGAGGGCAAAATGGCACCCACTCACTTTTAACAATCCCGCGGCCCAGCGCTATGCTCATGGGGTGGCCCTTTCCCTCCTCTGCCCAACTCCCACACCCCCTACCCCTACCCCAAGCACTCAGGTCTGCTCTGCACCTTTCCACCCCAGCAGGATTCCTGTTTCTAAAGGCAAGGGCTCCCTAACCATTTGGGTGTTGGTTTAGAGGACAGAGTTTCTCAAATGCATATCAAATATGGGATTGCTTTAAATTGAGTTGACTCTAGCATTCCTACCAGTGCATATACACACCAGATTGAGCAGCATTAAAACATGCTACCTGCATGGTCCAAAAGCATATTCTTTCTGGTCGGTGGTGGTTAGGTTGGAAAACCACACTCAGCACAGACAAAGACATGTTTCCTTTCCTGGATCTCTCAGCAACATATCTGGGACCTGACCAAAAAAGTTAAACCTGAGGACTGTAATATTTTGGAAACAATAACCATCAGACAAGTTATCAGCCATCCCCGTAATGAGCTCTGAACCTTGTCTAAATTGCTTTGTACTTTACTACGTTCCCATGTCTCACACTCAGTGGAGAGCCACAAGCACACAGATAAAGTTTATTTTTGGAGTCTCAAAACCCTCTCATAACAAAGCTCCCTGGTGCTTTCCCTGGCTCCTCTCTCACCTGAGCCTGACCCACTCCATCTCTAAACATACCTCTTTCTAGATTTCTCACTCTTCAAAGCACCCCGTTTAATACTTACCTGCTCTGCACCATTTCTCCCTGCTCTTCAGATGTCATCTAATGAGTTAATCAACCAAGTAATGGTCTCACTATGAGACAAGTCCTGCCATCTATGTATCCAGATAAAATGTTGTTTTGGAAAATTGAGGTGTAATTTACATGCAATGAAATATACATATCTGAAGGGTAGAGCTGTTGAAGGAGTTTAACAATAGTAAAATGCCTGTTTTAAGAGTTGCACTTTGGAGAGTGATTATAACAGTGGGCTGTGGAACCAGGGCCATCTGTTGGAGTAGAAGACTAGAAACTATGCAAGAAGAGTGGTCCCGGCCTGTTCTGACCACCCACTGACCATGAGCCACTTCCCCTCTGTGCCCATTTCCTTGCTGAAAAATATTGATTGGGTCAAATGGTTTCCGAAAGCCCTCTTGACCTTATTCTGACACTAAATAGGCTATTTTGGCAGGCAAGTGGACAAGCTGGGAGATGTCCTTGAACGCTCCCCAGGAGGGTAACAGCCTCACTGCCTGGGCCTTACCCTTCATTCAGCCTGTGCTTCTTTTGTGTAGACCAGGGTTTGGCAAGCCATGGAAACTCTGAGGCAAAACAGGATTCCCCTGTTTTTGTTCAGCCCTTGAACTTAGAATGATTTTTACATTTTCAAATGGTTGAAAAAAAATCAAAAGAAGAATAATATTTCATGACGCCCAAAAATTACATGAAATTCACATTTCAGTGTCCA